TTGCCCGATACCAGTATCCTGCGTCTGTCGCGAGGGTGGCGCGCTAAGGGGAGGGTCAAGGGGAGGGGGAGGAGTAGGAGGAGGTTGTGGAGGTGGAGAGGATGGGAAGTGGCTGGTGAAGGAGGGGGGAAGAGGGGGAAGGAGTTGTGTTATTTTAACGTTGGTGCAGGAATGATCCGTTGCTTAAGGGAGTTGCCTACCGCAAGGCCCGGGGAATTGTCAGCTTGTGACAAAGTTGAATGGGGAGGAGGAGGAGGATAGAAATGAATCAGATCCATAATGACGTTATGGGTGTCATTTTGTCTTAATCTTTCCAACATGATGAAATGCAAACAGTATCCTCCTCTTATGCTGCTGCTGCTCACTTGGCGCGATTGGCAATGTTGCTGTACATCTCGGAAACCTGACACCATAGATTAGGACAGGAGCGAAGAGGAAGGGAGAAAGTGTGGACACCAAAGCAGAATAAAGAGGAGAGGAGAGGAGAGGAGAGGAGAGGAGAGGAGAGGAGGATCGAGCTTCTCTTCACCTGGGCATACAAGAAAACACCAGCGATGGCGATGGAGGATCCGATCATGGACTGAGTGCTCATCTTCTGGCCGAAGATGATCACGGAGGTGATGACGATGACGACCCTCTTGATGTTGTTGCCGATGGAGTGAGTGACGGGGAGACAGCGTCGAGGGCGAGGAAGGCAGACTCGTAGTAGAGCTGGAACATGAGCCCTGACAGGATCAGCTGCTTCCACAGGTAGCCCTCGGTGATCATGGCGCCGGCGTGGTCGAGCTTGCCGATGGCTGCCTTCCTGTGTAGGGGGGGAGGTGAGAGGACGGAGAGGAAGGGGGGGGAGAGAGCGAGGAGAGGGAGTGAGGAGAGTGAGAGCACAGAAAGGAGGGAGAGGGGAGGGAGAGGAGAGAGAGGTACGAGGAGGGAGATTTGAAGAGGAAACGTGGAGGGAGATGGTGAGAAAGTGCGGAGAGAAGGAAGAGGAGGGGAAGGGGGAGCAGAAAGGGACGGCTTTAGCGCAAGAGCAGGTGGCAGCTTCTACCATGAAGGATGAGTCCAGGGAGCAAGAGTCCTCCAGCCCTCAACAGCGACGACGAAGGGGATGGTGAGGAGAGTGGCTCCGATCTGAAACCCAAGTCATCAGGTCATGCAAGTGAAAGCAAGGGGCGGAAGATGAGTAGGAGGGGAAAGGAGGGGAGATGAGAAAGAAAGATAGTGAGGGTGGGTGAGGAGTAGGAGGGGAAGGGGAGTAGGTGCAAGGGGATGAAGGAAGGCGCCTCATTACCTGGAGGACGCTGAAGGTGTTGGGGCCATCAAGCTTGGCGACCTCACGGATAGAGCGATCGCTCATGGTCTCTGCGGAGTGGCTGGTCAGGAGAGGAAGAAGAAGACGAAGAAACAGACTCACTCTTGCCGAGAACGGCGCGGAGAGAGAAGGCGACGTTGGAGACCATGGCAGACACAAACTGCAATGGCAATGAGGAGCCTATTCCTTCTCCTCCTCCCCTCCTGAGCGAAGCACTCTTCCTACATACTTCCTTCTCTTGACCCTCCTCTAGAACACACCTGGAGCATGTTGAAGTTGACCTCAGAGGCGGACGCATAGGCGACTCCTCCCATGATCTGCGACCAAGTCAGGAAAAGGATGAAGATGAGAAAAAGATCTCACGGGGATGAGGGTGGCGTACACAAACGGATGCTGCCACTTGCCATTGATCAAGCCGCTGGAGCATCGTCAGCACACCTCTATCACCCTCGCTCCTCGCGTCTCCAGCTCCACCCCTTCTCCCTCCCACCTGAAGATGGCGGTGAAGGCAGGCTCGCACGACTTGAGCACCTGCGTGTCTGTCAACACCCCGCAGAGAGGCGCCGCAGCATCTCACGTGAGCGAAGCCAAGAGCTCCAGCACCAAAGGCAACATTGCCTCCGACGTTTCCGGCAGCATGCAAGCTGCTCTGCTGGATGATGCTGGGAAGCTGCGGAAGTGAGTCAGCTAAGGATGCAAGATAATCACAACCAACAAGGCAGCAAGTAGATACAAGAGCAGAACAAACAGGCCAGGCTGGCTACAAGCGCAAGCACAGATACACAGAGTGATTACCAGCTTGTTGTCGATCTTGGGGGTGTCCCTAACGCCGAGGGCCCAGATGAGAGCAATGTAGGGGATGCCAACACCTGCAGACTCCATGAGCTCTATATCGCGAGCTATATCTGCCGTCACCGACGCAGGCAAGGGACTGGAGCCATGGCAAGTTCAAGGCATTGAGGGCCTGGTATTGCAATGAGGCTGCAGGAAAGAGACAGAGCGCGATGGACAGGCACCTTCTTGTTGGCGACATTGTAGAAGATGTTGAAGAAGTACCAGAGGCCGAAGTACGATCCAGCCTTGATCGACCATGCAGCCTTGCCCTGTGGGGAATGTGAATGTACACAAGTGATGAAGATGGTGACGGTGATCATGAAGTGAATGTGGTTGAGCTGCAGGAGAAGGCAAGACGGGTGTGGCGATGGGGCGTTGATATACAACTCGTCTTCACGCCCAACATACCGGGATGTTGAACGCGCCAAAGTCGACGGCAACCTCGGACTTGGAGGGCTTCAAGAAGTTGGCGAAGTAGTTGACAGGAGTCTGGCTCTTGAGGGCCTTCTTGGGCTTCGATGGGGATCCATCCTGTATACAAGCAGTGAGGAAAGTGAGGACATGAAGCTCTGCATCCTACCTCCAAGGCAAACGCTGTTGACGCGAGGGCGACAACTGCAACGACAAGCAGGGATCGAGAGACGCCCTTCATCTAGAGTAGCACGTCATCGTCAGAAGGCAGCATGGGAGAAGGAGCATGAAGGCAGCATGAAATTGATGACGATGTAGCTCAATCCTCTCACGGACTTTCGCAGCATTTGACCTCCTCCTCCTCCTTCACAAACGAAGCACCTTTTTGACACTCAATGTCCTGAATCTTGCGGCGCATGCCAGCAAAACAGTGAAAGGGCTAGCTAGAATCATGATCGCGCAGTAAAACTGTCACTTCTTTCTCCTTGTTTCATGGCATCGAAGTGTAATCCTACTGTAAACTCGACCACAAGAATTCCACCCCCTATAATACAGCATCCAACGAATCCCGCATTTCCTTCAACCCAGAGCTCACATTGTGAATGACAACTCCCCTCACGTTGATGTGCTACTCTCTCTTCATTGCTGTTTCTTCGCCTCTGCTCCCAGCATCTTCGTTCTTCCCCTCCACTACTTCCTCGCACCATCTTTGAACCTAAGTTGCCATGAGCAGCGGCCGCTCGGGGCTATGAGGGTAGGGGTACTGTCCTCCAGGGGGGTGATTCTTTGCTAAGGGGGTGGTTGGTTGGGAAAATTTGGGTACTGGAACAATATTGTGATAAATGGGGGGTGGGGGTAGGTGAGGGATTCCAGTGGATGCAGAGGAAACCGAGGAGTGTTAATAGGGGGTGAGGGTTATAAAGTAACCGGTCATCGGAGATTCAGTAGGGGTTATATACCACATTCAATTATGCAACAAAGGGAGTCTGAGAGGGTAGGGTAGAGTGAACAATGGGTGCCCTTCAATTTGGGTGGGTTCAGCGAGTTATTAGAGATCGTATTGGTTGGTGTCATGCGTACGGTGGGGTACTACGGTAACCGGTACATTGAACTCGGATTTTTGAGGTAAAAAGAGGGTGGGTTGGCTCTCTTCATTCTCCGTGATGGTAGGGTAGCAGGGGAGGGGAGTATCATGGGGTAGGGTCGAGGGGTGGAACATGTTCTTAATTAGGGGGTAGGGGTTCATTTATTTATGGGTGTCCGAGAATAAGGGGGGTACTCAAGAGAGTTTGGAGGGGTGAATTGAAGTGGTTTGCAAGCTTACCGAAGGGGTTGTGGTACCTCTGATGGTTGTAAGGGGTGGTATGAACGTACTCATTGTTGTAGATGGGGGTGGGTTCTCCAAGAAAAAATTCCCTACACGGGTAGTTTTGATATGAAATGGGAGGGTAGGGGGTAGAAATCCCTCGAATATTTAAATTGTGTTTGCCGGATTTTGCTATAAGTTTTATTTATTGGAACTCAGATAGCGTGAGCTAATCGATTAAAATGCAATATAAATTTTAATCGATTAGCTCCCTCCTTTTATCTTTTTTTATCCCCCGCGTGCAAGCAGCTAGCGCGAGCAATGCGTTCAGTAGGAAACGGCAACCACCAGTGCAGGTGCGAGGAAGAGGAGGAGAGGACGATGGGATGATGGTGATGGTGATGGTGATGAGAATGATGATGATGATGATGATGAGGAGGAGGAGGAGGAATGGGAGGAGGGGGGGAACCTCAAGGGAGGATGAAAATGTGGAGGAAAGGACGGACGATGGAAGGATCACGGGGCATGGAAGGGCACGTTATGCAGTCGGCAATGCAGACAATGTTGAAACGAGATGCAGAACTCAAGGATAGGATAAGGTTGACCAGGGTGTGCGCGACTTTGAAAAGGTGAAGGGAGTCTGGGGAAACGATGAAGAACAAGGACTTAGAAGAAAGAGCAAGGAGGTGAACATCAGGTTGTCGCAATGGTTGTAATCGGTGGCTGCGATGTGTCACGATGTTTTTGTCATGCGGAGGCAATCACGACAGTTTGATGCAAAATTTCCATGCAACAGTGCATGCAGGCGTGTCAGTAGGACTCCTTGATGATTTGGCGTGCTAGCATTTAGTCGTCGTCATACGAGGTTTGGAGGAATGAGTTGGTTGAAAGACATGCGATTGCGCGAGAGGCTGTTGGCTGCCACGTGCCCTGTATTCGAACGATGGCCTCGACAGCAGCGCACAGAGAAGCCGTGGAAGAGACATGTGCCTGTATGAATGTGTCTTGTCGTAACCTTGTCGTAACCTTGTCACCATGTGGAGGGATGGGTTGAGTGACGCGATGCTTGCAGGGGATCCGGCATCAAGCAGGCCAAGGCCGTGTTGGGAACCAAGGCTCAGAAGTCGAAGCTCAAGAAGGCCGTTGCCAAGAGAAGGGGATGGGGCGGACGTCTCTGCCTCTCTAACGTAGGCAAGTCTTTGAACAAGTAAAGCTTGCAGCGTTGCGATCACAGACAAAAGTTGTGCGATTGCCATCTGGGACAGGCTCCATCTCTGTCTGACGAGACTTGACATTGGTCATTTATTCCGTTCCTCCTCCTCCTCCTCCTCCTCCTCCTCCTCCTCCTCCTCCTCCTCGTGGTCGTCGAACATCACCCTCGTTGCTCATCTCCCAGACGCCTTGAGCCAGCTCTCGAACGCCTTCACGCCTGCAGACAACACACTTTCATCCTCGCACTGGCATGCCAACCCCCTCCTCTCACCCGAAGAGATCTCCGAGGCCCCGTCTATGGTCAGCTCTGACCCATCCTCCTTGAGCACTGCATGCGAGTCAGCAGCCTGAAGCTCTTGACCCCTCGAGCTCGTGGGTACCGAGGAGCGTTGGGATGCCGCTCCTTCTTGGGTTCACCTTAACAGCTGCCTGTTCCTTGCCGGCGCAGACCCCAAACTTGCGTTTCAATTCGTTCCTCAAGGAGGAGCCGTAGGGTACTGCAACCAGCTCCTAAGTTGCCTGACTTCACAGCCTCTGCCTTCTCTCCGCTCCTCTTCCTCCCTGCCAACACGCCCCTCGTTCCCCCCTCTCAACGCTCTCGACTCTGACCTGCAAGCCAGTCGCCATGATACTTGTTGTGCGTCTCATTGGTCGCTGCCTCGCTTTCCTCTGTATTGACCAGCTCAGGCGCGGGGCTACCAAGATGTCTCCATCCCTCCGCTTTCCAACTCCCCGCCCCCCCCCCTCTCCCGGCCCCCTTCTATCTTCCCCTCCTCCTCCTTTTCTCCTCCTCCTCCTCCTCCTCCTCCTCCTCCTCCTCCTCCTCCTCCTCCTCTTGACAGTACCCGAGCTAACGAAGACAATCTCGAATCGCTTCTCCCCGCCTCCGTTTACCGTCTCGTAGAACCTCTTGAGTTCAGGATCGAACTCCCTGCACTGAGGACACCAGTGTGCCTGTTGGCTTCCGTCAGGTCACAGTCCTCCTCCTCTTCCTGCTGACATACGCTAAAGTACAGCGCTACCAGCTTCCCTTGCAGGGAGGAGGAGGGTACCTCGGACCCGTCTTGCTTCTGAGCAGACAAACTTCTCGTCAGAGCGTCAGGGGTAAGTCAGCATCTCACAAGCAAACGAAACTTCCCAGATTCTCACTCAGCATGCTCTTGGTCTATTCTTCGTTCCTCCTCCTAATCCTCCAGATCTTCCCCACCACCACCACTACCACCACCCGCCATCTCCTTTCTCATGATCCCCATTATTCTTCGTCGTCGTCGTCGTCCTCCTCCTCCTCCTCCTCCTCCTCCTCCTCCTCCTCCTCCTTCACCTTGAGTGTTTCCCCTACTATCGATGCCATCGACACGCCACAGCAAAACACCACCCCCGATGAATTGAAAAAGTACCCTACCCTCAAATTTCTACTCTTTGGAGCTTGTACACCTCAATTATGCCCTGGTACAACAGTAATTTGTACGGGTGTCATATAAGACTACCCGTATAATTTATACCCCACCCCTTTAAATTGACAACCCAAGAATCAAAG